CAGCCCCTGAGACCCCCAGCCTCCGAGTCTCCCAGCCCCCGAGTTCCCCCTTCCCTGAGTCCCCCAGCCTCTGAGTCTACCAGTCCCCAAGTCCCCCAGCCCCCCAACCTGCTCTCAGCTGCATCCCCACATGCCAGCCAGCACAGAGTCAGGGGACGAGGTTATTTATTGCTCAGAGAGGGACAGCTTAGGACAAGAGACCCCAGGCTGAGGCCCAGGAGGTCCCAGGGTCCCAGGAAATGTGCCTTGGTCATCAGCCTCCTCGTCCCTCCCGGGAAGGCGACATCCTCTCCGTCCGCACAGGGGCCGAGGCTCCGGGACCTGATGTGCACAAAGGGACTCTGCTGTGACTCTAGAACCCTGCAGGGCAGGGGGCATCCCCTCCCAGGCTAGGGGTGTAGGACCCCTGCTTGTGTGAGGGGAGCCCCACCTCAACCCCAGCCTCAGGCTGGAGGGTCTTGTGATCCCAGGCCTGCCCTCCCCTGAGCACCCCCCTCACTCACCCCTACCCTGAAGGAGAGGGTCTCATCTTGTGCCCAGGGCACAGGAAATGGCATCTGGAGTGGCCAACCCCAGAGATGTGGGCACGTGGCCAGCTGGGCTTTTCCAGAGGCCCCAGGATTCCAGCCCATCGCTCAGGGTCAGCCCTGGGGAATGGGCACAGTGGGGTCTGTTCCAGGGACCCAGAGAGGCGACCTCAGGCTATGGGCGAGGCTGGTACATTACCCAGGAGGCAGGACTGAGCAGGAGCTTATCTAGACGCGGCACTGTTCTGTGGGAGGAGAGGGGGCAGTGGGGGTGTCAGTGGGAGGGGAGACTTAGCTGGGAACACAGCAGCCCCAGGGCCAGAGGTTGGGGGATGACAGGAGGGAGAGGGGACCCCACCTCAGGGTGCCTCTGCACCCCCAGGGAAGCCCTGGGGAGAACGTGGGAGGGGCCAACGAGGAGTGACAGGTGCTGCCCTGAGTCCTACAGAGGCTGGGACAGTGGCGGCTTCTCCTCTAGCCAAGGCTGGGCCTGTCCTGGGGGCAGCTCACCTTCTGCCTGGGTCATGTCCAGGAAGATCTGCATGTGCACAGGCAGAGTCTTGAGAAAGCTGATGAATTCCGCCATGACCTTGTCATCCACCTCCAGGGTCCTGGCTGTGGGGGACATTGGCTCAGTCCTGGGCCCTGGGAGCTCCAAGGGCCCTGCCTGGGGAGGGAGGGCAGGGAAGGAGGCCCTGGTGCTCTGAGGTTGGGCAGAGTTTGGTCCGGAGCAGGTTCTCAGACTGGTCTCCAGGGTTTGACCAACGGGCCTGCAGGCTCCCTGTCCCCAAGCCCCGCTCCTTGGCTGGGCCCGCTCCTCACGTACCCACGCTGGGACCCGCAGAACTCAGGATGGTGTCTACAGGGTCACGGGAGGAGAGCACAGTGTCCGCCTGCCCCGCCGTGTCGGGCTGCCCTCCCACAGCCCAGGACAGGTGATTTGTAGAGCAGGAGCGTCTCTACAGCCCAAAGCCAATGGTCCATGTAGTGGCCCTGGGAACTCCCAACAGTACTGGGGGTGTGACGTGGAAAATGTCACCTTATATTCATTTTCCAAACATGATTGTTTGAAAGACATTTTAGTATCTGGCTTCTTATTTGACAAAATAATTGAAAATCTCCATTCAGGAAGGTTGCTGGATTTATAGCCACCTGTCGACCACACAGAGATGGCCAAAGTCACCTTGCAGCTGACCTACAGGGACACCTCCTTCCCGGCATCCACAGTGGCCTCTGCTGTCCTCGGGGTCTGTGTTTGTCCCTCAAGTCCCTGTGTACAACACTTCCCTTGTTTCTGATGTAACACTAGGACTCCCCTCCCCCTCCTCCCCCTGCCACGGGGCTCCTGGGCTCCTTGGGAAGGCAATCCCAGGGGCTGGGGGAGGGCCGAGCCAATGGCTCCCTCACAGGCCCGCCTTCCATTCACTCGAGACTGATCTGAGCGTCTCATTCTGTGTCCGTTTCCCACGGGAACCCTGGGGGCCCAGGCGCGCACCCAGGTACTGGCAGGCCAGGTTCTGCCTGGGGGTGCTCTCCAGGCAGAGGAACAAATACTTGCTGCCGTCGGTGTTGAACAGGTAGATCCTGTTCTCATCCAGATCTAGAAAAAGAACAAGACAGGAGCAGAAATGAATTCTGGGCGCTTTGCTGCAGTGGGAAGGGGAGTGCTGGTCGGTCTCCTGTGGTCCAGCTGGACTTCCCATGAGGGATGCGTCCGCCCCGACGCCCAGCGTCTCCCTCCCATTTCTCTCCTACCACACTCCAGGCTGTGCAGAGCTACCCCACAGCGGGCCCCCCTTGGGAACTTCCTTCGGGGCCAGTGTCCCCCTGGACCCCAGCACGGTGTGAGTTTCCCATCAGAGAGCTCCCAGCACGGCTCACAAGTGACGCCAAGGGGCAAACGGGGCTGGGAGAGGCGTGGCTGTTAACTGTGACTCTCCACGGAGACACAGACCGTCCCCTGGCTTGGGATTCCCTCCCTCATCATCACACCCAGACGACCACCTGGGCGAGCCACCCTCAACACTGTGGCCCAGTGAGGCTAAGAAACGGGGTCTCTACTCTGATGGGGGTGAGACCGACACCCAGCCGAGGCAGCGAAGGTGAGTCCTGAGAGTCACCACCACATGCCAGGGCGGCGGGGAAGCGGAGACCCTCGGATCGGGGCCCAGTGAGGTGGGCTCCACCGACTTAGCCCAGTGGCACCACCAGGGCAGAGCTGTGTCACCAGGGTGGCTTATATGGAAAATGCCAACGTTTCCGCCCAGCTGCAAGCAGGGGATGCCGGAGACCATGGGTGGGCGCCCTGGCACAGGAGTCCTTTCGAGTGCCTCAGTGGTTGTGGTGTGCAGCCGTGGGGGAAGTCACATGGAGGGGAGCGTGGGGGTACCGGAAGGCAGGACGTGGCTCCCGGGGGACTCCCTGCTCCAGGCTGGGGAGGGGAGGCCTGGTGAGAAAGAGTCCTCATGGCTCTCTGGCATCTTGAATTAGCGATGAACGAATACAGAATCAAGGAGGTGCAGCCTCCAATCGAGCGGTCACAGGGGCCCTGACTCTCAGCAGACGGCTGGTGGAGTGCAGTTCGCAGCCATGTGGAGGGTGCAGGGAGAATGGGGACAGGCTGCTGGCTAAGGGGGTCACCGCTGCTGCCTGAGCTGAGCCCAAGCGACCCAGTGTCACTGCAGGGAGTGAGACCAGCCCAGAGGGCACCCAGAGGCGGTGCTGCTCCCTGCGGCTGCCGTCACCATCGTGACCCGTGCTTGCCTTAGCACAGCCAGGCCAGAGGCCAGGCCCCACTGTCCCACCCCTTGGGAACCTGGCCAGTGTCCCCAGAGCTGCCTGGGCTGTGGCCGGCACTTACAGTTGATCTTGAACTCGATGGGGTTCTCGGTTTTCTCTGCAATGATCTTCTCCTCAATGCACTGGTTGCTCTCCCTGAAAGGGCTTTGTTTCTGTGACCTGTGTGCACAAACGCTATGGTGGCCAATCTGCAACCCTGGAGAGGGGGGCAGGGGCCAGACTCCGAGGACTGAGGAGAGAGGGGCTTCCAGGCCACAAGTGCTGGTCACCAGGACAAACACTGCTCTCGGGAAACCCCTAACGTGTAGCCCGGGACCAGGCAGAAGAGGCCAGAGGGAGCCAGTGAGCGCCCTGGGCCCCCGAGGTCAGGGGCCATGACCGTGGACAGCAGTAGTCCCGGGGTTCATGCAGCAATCATGGGGTTCAGGTCCTCATCTCCCCCAGCCGTGACTCTGGGGGCAGACAATCCTCACAGGATCTGCCTAGTCCCAGGAGACCACAGACCACAGCAGCCCAGCCTGGCCCCCACACCGGCCTTCTCCGCAGACTGACCCAGGCTGCGATGTGTGGTCAGTTGCTGGCCCAGAGTCCCTGGGCAGGTGCTCTGAAGGGACAGGCAACCTCCTGAGCTTCATTCCCCACCCCACTTGGCACCGTGGAGGGTCCACAGTGAAGCCCCTGGACCATCAGGAAACGCCTGGGGCCGGCCCTGGCTCTGCCCACCCCTCGTAGTCCTGGACCCCGGCTGCAGGAGAGTGAGCCCCGCCAGCCACAGCCCCGATGACGAGGAACCCACCATCTGCGCAGGGCGATCTCCAGGTTGCCCTCGGGGGTGGGCTGCAGCGAGCTGATGTAGATCCTCAGGGGGGCCTCCTTGGTCTCCAGGAGGGAGAAGTCACTGGCCGCCATGGCCATGGAGTGCCAAGTCCCTGCCAACTGAAGGGACCTCGAGCTGCACGGGGGTCCCCAGGCCACCATGGCTCTTGTTGCGCCCCGTGCAGGTGAGGCTGAGTCCCACCTGTCCCCAGTTCCCTCAGGCCACTGCAGGCCACTGATGGACTGGACTCATCACGCTGCTGCGTGGGACTGATGCCAGAGGGGGCCTCACGCCGCCGTGGACCCGACTCTGCTGCCCCAGAAATGTTCCAGCTAAACTCATTTGAGCCCAAAAAAGCACCCGGCTGAGCGCATCTCCTTGAGTCAGGGGAATATTTGGATCCTGGGGAGCCATGTGGTTGGGGCTGGAGGGAGGTTGGGGGACAGAGAGGCCCTGCCTAGGGGCTGAATTGTGTCCCCAAGATTCATACATTGAAGTCCTGACTGCAGCACCTCCAAATGCGAGCTAGAATGGTTAAGAAGTGATGAAGTTAAACTGTGGCCATTAGGGTGGCCCTGACCCAGTCTGATAGGGGTCCTTAGAGGAGGAGATTGGGACACGGACAGCCGGAGGGACGGCCCTGTGAGAACACAGTGGGAAGACGGCGTCTACACGGCAAGGAGAGGAGCCTGGAGGAGAGCCAGTCCTGCTGACATTGTGATCTCGAACTTCCAGCCTCCAGGACTGGGAGAATCAGCTCTGTTGTTCGGGCTGCAACCTGCGGGAGGCCAGCCCTGGGAAGCTCACAGGGGCCCTAACATCACAGCCTCTTCTGTCGACCCTCGGCCTTCTAGATCCTGGGCTTCCCGGCTTCCCACAGCCCCGACCCGCCCCAGACCTCCCACAGTAAAGCGCCCGCTCCCCCAGCCTCAAACCTTTGGGAGCTCCACGTCCTGCATGGTCTGGGGGCTGTCGATGGCCCAGACGCCAGAGATCAGGGCCACGCCCAGGGTGAGCAGGAGGCACGGCATGGCTGCGGCTGTGGGTGGCTCTGAGGTCTGGAGCGAGAGGGATGCTGAGGCAGTGTGGGCTCGGGGGGCCTTATGTAGGAGGAGGGCAGATAAAAGCTCCGCCCACAGCCTTGCCATGCGATTCCTCGAACCCGTGACTCATCCTCGGCCCGTGGGCAGCTTCCTCCACTGGGACAATGGGAGGCTCTTCCCTGCGTCCACATGGGAAACTCCTCCGTGTCCAGGCCGGGCAGTTCCTGGCAGGGCCTCAGGTGGGAGGGGCCTGGGTCGGGTCCAGGCTGGCAGCCAGTGGCAGGAGCACCTCCTGGGTCGGGGTTCTTGGAAAATGGTCGATCAGAGGCCAGCACTGAGGACAGCTGTGCCTGGGGGCAGTGGTAGGCCCAGTGGGGCAGGCAGAGGGCCCGAGAGCCCCATGGCTGCCCCAGGATGCCACAAACATCATGCTAGTGAACAGCCGTCTGCTCCACAAAGGGGCCACAAGTCTGCGCCCGTTCATACTCCCCAGCCGGGGCTCCTCCCACAGGTGCCCCCAATGCCAGGTGCTGCCGGCCAGGCCCGGCTGGGCAAGGCCTCCTTGAAAGGCTTTGCTCTTTCCCAATCTCCCTCGTGTTTCTGTTTTCCTCTTCTGGCTCGGAGAGCAGCTCCTCCAGCATCCTCGCCATGGCCTTGTAGGGACGGCGTCTCCTTCCCCGCTCAGTGCCCTCCAGCTAGGACGGGCCCCGGGTGGAGTCAGGTTCAGGGGAAACACTGAGGACCCTGGTGTGCGGTGCTCTTGGCCTCAAGTCTTCGTTGTGAAGTACAAGCCAAGCAAAAACAGCAACAGTGACCACAGCGGTGGTGATGATCCAAACCAATGGATCCAAACCAAGGGTGCCCAATGATCCGGCCTGTAGTTTTGGCCCTGGGGTGGGGAACATGGCAGGGGCCGTGTGCACAGCACACCCAAGCGCGCTCCGCGTGGATGCGCGTGGTGGGTCATGTCTGCAGCGTGGTGGGTCATGTCTGCAGCATTGGAATTTCAAATCTACCAATGTGCTTCTGTCCCACTCAACGGTGCAGCTGGGGCCATCAGCAACTCAGGAACGCAGGCTGCTGGAGGATGTGTCCCGGTTAGGTTTGAGGGGGATGACGCAAGTTGCAGAGTAGCGTGTCTTTCAGGATTCCACGTGTGCAAACCAGCACCCACAGGTGAGTGTGTGTGTGCGCATGTGCCTGTGTGTGCACACCTGTATGTGTGTGCCCACGTGCAGGTGTGTGTGTCTGTGTCCATGTGCCCGTGTGTGTGCCTGTGTGCATGTGCCCATATGTGTGTGAGTGCAGTTGTGTGTGCTTGTGTGCAGGTGTGTGTGCCCATGTGCAGGGTGTGTGTCTGTATGTAGGTGTGTGTGCCCGTG